TCCTAGCGGAGAACTCGCTTCTCGCGGGGGCTGCTCTGCTGACCCCTTGCTTCTCCGAGACCCCCTGTCCCCAGCCCTGTCAAGGCTGGGCGGTCACAGGGGTAGGACGGGCACCATGAAAGCAATTCCGCACGAGGATTTGATTTCTTAATTGTAATTGCCTTTTTCCCCCAAAGTGGAAGGTCGAAGCCTGGCTGAGTGAGCCGGCTAGTTAATCAGACCTTGTTACGCAGGGCAGAGGGGAGGGGGGAGGAGAAAGCGCGGGGAGCCCCCAGACGAGGCTGGCAACCTCATGAGCTCCAGCTTCTCGCTGGGCACCAGGACCACGGTGCAGCTGCCCGGGAGGCTCAGTGCAGGGAGAGCTGGGCTCCACCCTGCTCCTGAGACGCCCATGGGCGCCCCGCCAGCCACTTGCCCCCAAGGCTCACTTTCTTCCAGCAGAAGGGACTGTGCACCCTCAGCCCTCCCCGCTCCCCCCGCCCTGCACCCCTGCCCCAGAGGCTGCGCTGTGGATGCCCTCGGTGTGGGCAGAGGCAGGGGCGGCCCCGGGGGTTCTGTTCTAGGTGGGTGTGGCCCAAAGCGTGTGACACCCTCTCTGCTGCGTGGCTATGAAGGGGACAGAGGTGGAAACCCAGCTGCCGCAGGGCTGAGGCTGGGGCGTGCCGCCCACTGGTGTGTGTGCACACACATCTTTGCCTCGAGCAGTTTTAGACTCACAGCAAAAAGTGCACAGACATTTCCCATATACCACCTCCCCCAAGATCAACATCCACGCCAGGGGGTTCACTTTGTAAACGCCCTGGCCTATGTCTCCGCGTCAGTGTGGATAGAAATGGAGAATCGACTGCCTTTCTCCTGAACCCCAAGAAGCTGAGACAGAGGACCAACGGACGGGGGGGTCTCGGGTTCGTCATGGTGCCGTCAAGCCCCAGCCGCCCTGAAGGATCTGGGCTGAGGATGCACGGGGGTAGCGTGTCCTGTGAGACCCCCCCTCGGGAATGCAGGAGAGCGGGACCAGCCCCCAGGACCACCCCAGAGCCAGGGAGCAGAAGTGGCCCTAGACCCACAAGAACCAGGACCCCCGACCACCTGCATTTGTTTCTCGGCGGGAGGAGGGTCTGTCTGCCTGCTGGTCTTTGGGGACCACACAGCGGGAGGGTGGGGTCACAGCACCTGACTTGGAGGTGGGGAAAGAACTCCAATGTTAGCAGGAGTAGCAGCGTGAAAGGAAGTGGGAGGTGGGAGGAGAGAGAAAGCCCGTGGCCTTGGGCGCTGAGATGAGGTACCGAGACCGCACCCCTGGATCCCTCCGAGGCCCTCCCAGCTTCCGGGGAGCGGGGACCAGTGTGAGCTGTGCTTTCAGGGCATCAGTGACTGAGCTTTTTGCTTTACAAGGAGGCATTCAGCAAGAGGCGTGTTGGCTCAGCCATGCTGGGAACGAAAGGCGGTGCACACGGGAATCCCAAAGCTTCAAATATTCACTGGCCTGCTCCATCCTCCCCGACATCCTGTCCTGCGGCAACCCGCAGCAGCTCTTAGCTGGGGATGGACAGTAAAACTTGAGCAACAAAGACGGGAATTCAGTCCAAAACACCGTTGGCACCTTCACCTCTGAGGTCTCGCAGAAACTGGATCGATTTATCAGTGACTTAAATGGAATATTATTTCCTTGTCTTTTGAAATCAATTTCACCAAAGCCAAAGCTTTAGGTAAGGTTAAATAGCTACTGAAATGCCAGGGGTGGGGGTCAACCAACAAACAACAGGCTTTGTCTGGAATTGACTGAGGGAGAAGGGGGAGGAGCCAAAGAACTGGGAACCATAGACGGTTCTGTGGCCTCAGGAGAGAGCAGGACCCAGGTTTACTCATCAATCCCTGACACAGGGGAATGGCAGTAAATGCTAGTGAGTGGCTGTGAGCACACGTGAGTGAAGGGATGAATGAGTGAGTGTGCAAGAAGTGAGCCTTGTGAACCTCCGTCACTGGCATGATGACGCTTGCTTTGCCTGCCTCAGAGGCATGAACTCAAGAGCCAGTGATGCCAAAGGTCTTCCAGGTGGGCCACTGTGACCATCTGGATCATCTCCGGGGGTCCAAGACCTGCTGGGGAGAAGCGTGCCCCGCTTCTATGACCTGACTCCTACCCTGGCCCAGGCACCCGGGGAATGACAAGGGTAAAGAACATCCCAGCTCTGTCTACGTGGTGGAGAGACAGGCACACGGTCCTGCCCTCGAGAAGCTCAGCCCATGGGGGGGAAGCCCGCACAAAACGAAAGGCAGAGGAGCCGGCCAAATTCTCCAGCAGTGGAGGGAAGAGTCTGCCCAGAGGGGTTCTTTTGGGGGGAATCACGAAACTTTTCCCGCAGGAATACCAGGTGAGGCACAAACCAGGTGCCAATGCTGGGGCGGAGGCAGGGAGAGTGAGGGAAATGACTTCCAAGGTCACCGCCGACTCTGGCCTTGAAGTCTGACTGTTGTGAAGCCCCCGTGAGCTGCAGGGCCCTCCTCTAGGGAGCGAGGGGACACCTGCAAGAGGCTGAACACCACACCCGGGCTAATTCAGAGGCAGGATGCTGTGGTCCAGTGTGCGGGGCAGGCAGGGCCCCTGGAGGTGAGCGAGGCTTGGGGGTGGCGTGGCAAGGCCAGCACGCGCCCCGCGTGCGCCCCGGGCATCACAGCGGTACTAGGAGGACGACCAGGCTTGTGCCATAAACCCATCGGAGGAAAGGGGAGAGCTCGGCACTCTGGCTGCAGCAGGCGGGGGACGTAGCCCGCAGGGCCGTCCCCCGCCCCCCGACTTGGCGGGGAGCTGGAGCTGGGCCAGGAGGGGTGGCCCCCATGGGTGGAAGGAGAGCAGAGGCTGCTCCGCCTGGGCTGGGGCTCATCCCCGCGCAGGGGCTGGGCCCTGAGGCCACGGCCAGCGAGAGGAGCCCTGGGCCACTGGTAACCGGCTCCAGGCTGCAGGAAACACCCATGGATCCCTGTCAGCCTCCACAGGGCGGGGGGCAAGCAGGGTGCCACATCTGGCTTGTCCCTTTTCTGATTACAAAAACAAGCCGTCCCCACTGCAGTGATCTGGGGAAACGTAAGAAAAGGCAATGAACGTCAAAACCACCTGCGCACCACCCACCTGTGCAGCTACGGCCATGGACACGGCAGAGGCGGGGTCTCTCCTGGGGCACGAGCTGGGTAGGACGGCACGAGGCTCCTGCAACTGGCGTCAGGTCATCCCGCCCCAGATCAACGTCCTCAGGCCACGAGTGGACTGAAAAGCCACGTCTGGGCTCGAATTACGCGGCAAAACGTGTAAATGCTGGAGAGGTGAGGTCCCTGAGACCAGCCGAGAGACTGCCTGCTCGCTCGGGGGTCTCCGGTGGCTTGGCGCCCCGCCATCTTCGGGGACGACGGGACACCCTCCAGCTGTCCTGAGGGGGCTGGAGAGACATGTGCCCAACACGTGGGCCAGTGGCTGACCCTGCTGCCAGGGCCCCAGTATCCCTTACTGGGTGAGTCTGGAGAGCAGGCAGAGATGACCTCACGGGGGACAAGCCACAAGCATCCTGGCACAAGGCTCCCTTGCAGGTCTGCGAACACAGCCCACACCCCAGAGACCCTCCTTCTGGGTTGACAGGGAGAAGACGGGAGTCTGAAGCTCAGGGAGGGGCAGTCTTGCCCAAGATCACAGGCTGGCTGGGGATGGCACAGCTCTGAGGGGGACTCCAAAAGCCTGTGCACGGGCGCTCCGGTGCAGGAGAAGGGCCACCGAGGCCACATGGCCGCGGGGAATGATGCTTTCTGGTGTTACTATGACTTTTTTGTTCCCTAGAAAACAAGGGATGAAAGTCCCATCAGCTGGGTTTAGGGCTGAGGTTTAAATGTTTTGATTTAAGCTGAACTTAACTGGGGAGAAGTTTGCACCAGTTGACACAGCCTGACTGGAGGCTGGTTTTTATGCTGCCTGGAGGCTGGTTTTTCTGTCGACTGGACTCTCTGCCCTCCGAGGGAAGGTCAAGTAAATGAGCTCATGGTAACTAATTCGAGGCCGTGAGCCGGGATTAATTCCACCCTCTCTCGTCTTTTTTGCGTCCCGGGGTCAAGGAGCCAAGAAAGGCACACTTTCGCTTCTCGGGGGTGAGGGGCTGCCCCAGGGCTGTGGGGTGCTCGGATGCAGCCCTGAGACCCAACCCACCCCAGCCTTCCCCGACGGCTGCCCTCCTGAGTGCACATCCATGTGCATGTCCAGGGAGAGTTCCGGCCTGGGGGCGGGGGCTGGATGGGGGGCAGGTAAGGAGGACGACTGATGGGTAGACTGTGGGCCTGGCACTCGTCGGGCCCAGCCTGAGGCCTGTCTGTGCTGCTTACTACCAGTCGAGCACCCTCGGTGGAAAGTTGCTCAGCTGCTCCATGCCTCAGTTGACCCTCCGTAAAATAGGAGTGGGGACCATGTTTATCTCTGAGCTCGGCACGTGCTAGCGTTAGGGCCCCCTCCCCGACCCTGTTCGTCTCCCTTTGTCACTGTTGTCCTTATTGAGGGCCCGGAGGGTGGAGAGAGAAGATGGAGAGGTTGGGGGCATCTGGCAGGGGCTGCCCTGGATGTGCCCACCTGGTGCACAGCCCTGCCTTCCAGGCCCCCGGCAGGACCATCAGCCGGGGCGCGATTACTACAGGGCCCAGTCACACAGCCCCAGGCAGATGGCTGGACCCATAGCAGTCATTTTCCTTCAAAACGCCTTTTCCAGCAAGATGTCCAAATGTGAGGACGCCAGCCTGCGCTGACACATTGTGGTTGTGACACATTTTAAATAACTTTCACTAATTGTGCTCATTGCTCATCTCTTCCTACCATTTCATAAATTGCATTTCATTGTTTTGGGGCTGATTGTTTAAAAATAAATTGTTACCTAGAATCCTCCTCCAGGCGTCTGCCCACACGCGCGTCGGGTGACACATCCCGAGGTGGCTGGGCCAGCCTCGCTTCTGTCTGTTTGCCTCGATAGCACCTCGATGGATGCAGGCAGTTCCAACAGAAGCTTGAAGCTGGTGTTGCCAACATCGTCCCCAAGCCAGAAGATGAACCCAGCCCAGGCTGGCGAGCGCCGGCGAGCATCCACGCAGGAGGTGCCGGTTCCCACGTCAGGCATCTCGCGCGCATTCTTTTATTTCATCCTCGCAAGAACCCACAAGAAAGGTTCTTTCCCATAAGGAAACGGGGGGCTCAGAAAGGTGCCCGACGTGAAAACCTCCGCCGTTTCCTCCCTCCCTCCCTCCACTTCCTCATTTCCGTGCCCTGCACCACCGACCAGCTCTGCACCCTCGACCAGCTCTGCGCCCTCATCCCATCCAGATCCTTGCCAGGAGGGGCCCAGCTTCCTCAGAGTACAAAGGAGGCCGTTTCCTTGGCAACGAGGTCCTTACGCCTCTCTGGGCAGGGCTGGCTTCACTGCCAGAAGCCCCTCCTGAGACCCCCCTCTCTCTGTGCACCACTCAGGGTCCCACCCTCGGGGGCCGTGGGTGGAATTTTAAGCTCAAGAGGTATTCTTAAAAAGCACCCATGTGCCTTCCTTAAACCTCCTAAAATAATTGCAGTTAAGCAATTACTCCCTTTAAAGGCGTTTGGAGGTGTTGAGATGCAGGCTCCCGTTTTCCGTGATGAAACTTTGTGCTGCAGAGCCCAGATGGGGGGCAGCTCGGCCTTCAAGGCCACTCCTTCCGCAGGTGCTCGCGCCCGTGGGTGCACCCCCCCATGGGTGTGCCCAGGGTGCCCCTCCCCTCTTCTCTCGCCTCCACCCACACCGCGCAGGCTTGTCAGGGAGCCTGAGGGTAAGAGGAACCGCAAGGGGAGGGGAGGTCAGCACTTCCAGGCGTGTCCCGACGTGGCCGCTTCCCAAAGCCACTCTGGTCAGTGGTCAGCGGGGGCAGGTCCTCTGGTCTCTGTGTCCCGCCTGCCCCGCCCCTCTCCCTTCTTCCTCACTCCTCACGGAGCACCTCCTCTGTGCCGACATTTAGGGTCAGAGTGCATCAAGGCAGCCGCTGCCCTCGGGAGCTCCGGCACGTAGACAGACAGACAGCCACCACTGCACCGTGCACGGCTGCGACGGGGTGGGGCGCAGGATCAGAACAGGGGGCTTGTCACAATCTTGGGGACCCAGGGAGCCTTTCTAGAGGAGGCAGGGGAACACAGACAACCGTGTGGCAAGGCGCCTCCCCAACGGCCTGGCCAATGGAGGGCGGTGGAGAGGTCAGAGTGTGCGTCCTGACCTTGACCCTCGAAAGGCCAGGCCACCGCGCTTCTGTGCATCATCCGTGGGGAGCTTCTGACCCCACCCCACTCCCGCCCCGTGAGGAGAGCATGCTGGCGTGGATGGGGACGCGTGCGGCAGAGCTGGCATGAGCCCTTGGCCTGGAGCCCGGGCCACGCTCAGCTCGGAGCAGCCAAGCCCTAGCCAAACGCAGGCTTGTGAGCGAGAAGCAAACCGTCTGCGGCATGTAAGCTGCTGAGTTACAGTGGCTTATTAGGCAGCAGCAGTAAGTGACCGGTGACCGGAGCTAAGCCACGCAAGGTGACACTTGTTCTGGACCCTTAAATCCAGCAGGGCGTGGCCGCGTGGGGAAGGGCACCCAGGCAAAGGGAATGATGCAAACAGGGAAGGAGGGTGCTGGACCCCACCCGGGCCCACCCACGCCTGGAGGCTGCTCCTCGGCCCCATGAGCACCCTCAGGGTCGGGCCAGCAAGGGTGGGAGGTGCACCAAACAAGAGAGTCCTGCCACCAGCCCCAGCCCCACCCCCTGAGCTCTGAGAGCCTCCTCCCTCGGAGGCCATCTCTTACCTAAGGACTCCTCTTTAGGACACCTGAGCTCCTGTACTCTCCCCACAAGGAGTGTGGGCTGCAGCCCAAACACAGATGAGCCTTCATTCTCCACGCAGCACCACGCCTGGTTCCTCACCCCATCTCCTCACCTCGCTCCCCACCCAGCGCTCACCTCTGGGCCTTCACCTATCCTATTCCCTCCACCTGGAAGGACAGACCTCTCTTTGCCCCTCCTTCCCATGGCCCCCGTCTGCCTGTGACGCTCCCCGTCAGTCAGAACCTTGTTCCCACGCCACCCCCTGTAGGCTGGGTCTCTGACTGGGCAGCAGTGGCCTCGCCCGTCTGGTCAGCAGCCCTCCACCTCCGCCCAAAGGCCGCAAGCTCTTTTTGCCTCGTGACAAAGTCAGGCATTGGTCAGGGGAGTGACACTGCAGCCCAGGTGCTTAGATGTGGTGTCACCCGGACCGCCAGGGCCCAGGCAGGATGCAGATTCCCAGTCACACCTCCAGAGAACCAAAGGTGGGCCCCGGGGTCTGGACTTTTTCCGCTGCACACTTGGAAAAGCGCCCCAGGTGACCAGAAGGCCTCTGTCTGCCTCACCCTTGCACCCCCTCCCACACCCAGTGGGGTCCGCCGTGGCCTGTTTGTCCAATGACGCCGGCCCGCTCCAGCATCCGAGCCCTGTGCCCAGAGCACGCTCCAAGCTGTCAGACTTAGAGATGAAGAAAAATGGGCTGTTTTGCCCTGGTGGGGAAAGACTCCATTCTGGCTCCATTACTTGGCTAACTGACTCCACTGTGTCCTGGAGCCCTGCCTGGGACCCAGGAGGATAGGGGGACACAGAGCAAACAGGCACAGGTGTGCAAGACCTCCTCGTGGGATCTGTCAGACCTCTCCCGCCCGCCCGCTGCCCCCTAACCTGTCAGGCCCACCGCTGCCCCCATCCTGGGATCCTGGGACTCATCCCCGGAGGTGGGCCCTGATGGACCAGGCCACCTCAGAGGCCTAAGGGCCCCTCCACTCTCGTGCAAACCAGAAGGAGACCTCCCCCGGTTTCCGCTCCCCCAGCCCTGCAGGTCCCGGCCCCCAGAGGAGTGTCAGCAGCCTGGGCTTCCTTCTCCAGGCCGTCCTCCATCCTGCAGGAGCCCACAGGGAGTGAGATTCAAGCTCACTCCCTGCACACTCTCCACCTCGAGCACAAACTTTACCCAGCTACACGGCGCCCTGGGCACCTCTGTCGTTACCCCAAGCAGAGCCCGGAGTCCACAGGCCCCGTGCAGCTGTCGTGCAGCTGTGCCCCCACGCAAACCAGGACCCGGGGCCCAGCCTCAGGCTGCACCAGCCACGGGGCTGCTCCACGGGGAGCTGGGTTGGGGGGGACAGTTATGGCTGCACGCATGAAAACCCGAGGGCTGATGATTAGCCCTGCCTTCCAAAGCAACCATTTACTGACTTGTTAAGGAAAGCACCAATTTCTCAGATAAATAAACCATTCTTAACTCGGCTGTAAACTGATTTTTTATGTTTACTTAAATTGGACTGCGGCTATCCCAGCACATTCTTATTTTATCCCTTCCAGAGGACAGAATCAAAAATTCTAGCTTACGTATTTGCTTTCCTTGTCCCCGCCTTCAAATTTACTCTGTCCTCGTTCACTGATTCTGAAATATCTCCCCGGTCTGCTCTGTCCTGGGCACGGTGCTGGGCCCCAGGGGGTGAACTTTAGTGGATAAATCACCTAAGATCTCTCTACACTTATTGTCCTGCCTCCAGCCCACAGAAAAGACCAGAGAAATCTAAGATAACACCCGAAATCCTTTAGCAGTGCTGCAAAGCAGGGATGAGTGCCCTCTGAAGACCCCAAACTGTGCAGCTCACGTGGACTGACCTGAGGAAGGCCCAGGGCAGTGCTGGACTCAACACTGGCAAAGCCAGGAAGGAGAGGGGACGGCCACCACGAGGACACATAGGTTGGAAAGGCCCAGTGAATGTAGGGACGAGCAGGTGCAGGGTGAGGGTGGGTGGTGACAGGAAAGGAAGCACAGCGCAGCTCAGGAAGACTTGGGCGCCTCATCAGAATACTCGGAGACGCTTTTGTGAGCCGTGGGGGACATCAGCACGGCCTTTTAAGCAGTTAGGGAACTATTCCACTGAATGATTTTCATTCTCCCAGATGAAAATGACTATAAAGGCAATCCATGATTGCAGCAAAAATTTCAGATAATATGGAAAAGCATAAGGAAATGGAAATCACTCCAAATCTCACCACCCAGAAATAAGAATCTCTGCTAACTTTCTGATAAACGTCCTTCCAGACACTGACCTCCGAATGTGCATATAGGTCCCTCTGTGTAAATGAGCTTGCACTCTACCTGATGCTCTGTAAGCTGCTGTTATGTCTTGGATGACTTTCCACGGCATTGGATACAGACCTGCCCGTCACTGGAAGCCACGCGGTGTTCCCGGGAAGGATGCACCAGCCACATGTGACGGATGCCCTGGAGAAGCACACGTAGGTTTGTCCAGCTTTTTGGTGCCACAAACAACACTGCAACCAGCGTCCCCCCGCACAGAACCCTGCCAGCGGGAGGACAGCAGGGTCAGGGAACAAACAAACTTCAGGGGCTTCCCTGGTGGCGCAGTGGTTAAGAATCCGCCTGCCAATGCAGGGCACACGGGTTCGAGCCCTGGTCCGGGAAGATCTCACACGCCGCGGAGCCACTAAGCCCGTGCGCCACAACCAATGAGCCTGCGCTCTAGAGCCCGCGAGCCACAGCTACTGAAGCCCGCGTGCCTAGAGCCCGTGCCCTGCAACAAGAGAAGCCACCGCAATGAGAAGCCCCGCTCGCCGCAACTAGAGAAAGCCACATGCAGCAACAAAGATGCAACACAGCCAAATAAATACATACATACATAAATCAATCTTTAATAAAAAAAAAAAAAAAAAAAAAAAAGAAGACGCCTTCAGGATGGACGTCTCCAGGGAGAAAACTGGGCTGCACCAGCCACCTGCCACATGAAACACAGAGGATAAAGAGTTCTCGCGTGATTTTGTGAAAAGTTCAGGGGAAGCATTAGTGATGGAAACATAAGAAAATGTAAAATGTAGCCCCCAAAGAGCTCACTTCCGGGAGAGAGGGAAAAATACTGACAGAGACACAACATTTGACTAGAGCATTGATGTACCAATGAGCCTCATTTAAAAGACTTAAATCCATATGTTGACGGGTTGATCAATACTGAATAGTAACTGAACCCTAAAGGCGCTTCCCCTCTATGGCGGGCGGGGGGGCTCTGAGAGAATTCAACGCGCATCTGTCACCATGGAAGA